AACCCGTGAAAGTTAGGACTGTCTTCAGATCTTGGGCACATGTTGTTGTCAGATGAGTTTGGGCTTGAGATGTGGGTGAAGGGCATAGGCATATCATTCTACGTTCCTCCTGGAGAATTCTCGAGTTTTCACCGGTTTGGATGTTTGGAGCCCACTTTTTCAATGTATGGAATCATTGAGCAAATGGATCCAAATGCGTTCGACGTTGTGACATCGATTCTATTTTCAGATGCGATCATCGTATCTGGAAAAGAGCTGGAGGTGGAGCCTAACAAATCCAAGACCTGTAAAGCATCTTTTGAACCGGCACGTGCTACACTGGTGGAAAGGAACATGTCGATCGTATGTTGTCATGACAAACTTCCGTCGAGGATGGATGGAGAATGGAGAGTGAGTCCGAAAAGCGACCCATGCAATGTGCGAATTTGGGAATTTGGGAATCTGGGGTCGGTGCGTTAGTGATCGTCGTACGTCCAACCCTTCACTTCCTTCCTGAATTCCTTCCTGCACAAAGAATGAATGGTCATCGAAGAGTCGGCCTCCCTTTTCGACGTTCGCAGCTCTTTAGATGAGTGCCGATCGGTACGTATCACGAGGAATATCTCATCCCTCTCACAGAATATTTATGCCCCCATAATATGAAGGTTTTTGAGTACAATCTGATCCTCCTGTTCCGTTTAGCGCGATACAATCACTTTTCCGTGTCCACAAAAGGGTCCATGCTCCGAAGATCTCCTGTTCTGGAAGAATTATTCATTGTTGTGATTGGGACGAAGGGCAGAGGCCCACTCTCCATATCCCCTTTTCGTTACATTCTTCGAGCCATGCAAGGACGTGGACAATTTTATGCTAAGGGGGACAATTTCATGCACGAACCCTCTCGTTTCCTTAATTTGTCACCTTGTAATGGCCTGTTGCATCATGCGCCGCCATTGTGCACTAACTTCTGCTCGAATCATCATCACCTGATAACCATCCAACTTTACTTCTTCGATCTTAGTGGAAGAAGTGGAAGCAAAGCATTGGGATGGAATTTGGGAATCCAGAATTTATCCTTCATCTTTCTGATACAGATGTAAAACCTGGATCTTCGAATACAGTATGGCACGCATCGCCACCTGGTTCGACAAAACATGCACAATTACTTTCAAGCCATGGGGCAGACAACCGTAAATCCTTCTAATTCGAGTCACTGATTCAAATAGACCCTCAGATGCCAACCAGTGAAACTTCAAGCGATTCACTGCAGAATGATCGCTCGCATAAAATTCAGATCCAAGTAAGTATAGCAAGAGGTATAGAAAGAAGATTACCCCGTCGGGCTATTCTCCAATAGCATGGCCATGGGGGGATTTTTCATTGTGCAATTCCAATCTATGCACGTTCATTCGTCCAAAAAGAGTATCCGTATATATAGATTATCTATTTCTTCTATGTACAGCATTAGCTATTACTCTGTGTGAACTATGGAATAAACTTGAATAAATTTAATTTAACTAATGTAATATTTACTAACTATAATTTGAGTAGATTGTTTCACTTGGCCGCCTAGAGTAATCTCTCTCACTTGAATTTTCTTCTCTGCCTTCTTTTACCACCGAGACTAAGGGAGATAAATAAGTCGATTCTTTACAACCCACGTACTTTGGTAATTCCGGCTCGACATGCGTCCATCTAGGCGGGAGAAGAATCTTTTGCTCAGCGTTAGTTATAGTATCAAAGTTTTCCACGTTTGACACCGTAAGTTGATGTCACTGAAAAGTATATGCTAGTTCAAATCAAGAATATACATCAACGTGTGAAGTATCCATGTTCATCTGCCAAGTTATATGTCAAACTTCTAATAATATTACGGATAGTTACACTCTGCCATCCAAAGAAATCATAAACTATTTGAACATAGGATGTGTCTAAGTATCAAATTTTCAATAAAAATGTACTTAGACATTTAAACCTTAAGTTTTCACTAAATGTGAAACCTGATCGTAGGAGGAAAATCTATTCTTCACTAATGATATATCAAAATCCATGAGCATGTATACATTTGAATAAAAATCTTGTCAGTGAATGCTTACAAAAAATAAACAATTCCAGTAAGAGTGAGTGTGATATGCATTAGACTTATGATACATCAAGATACATCACAGCTTTATAGTTCCAATCAATGAGAGAAAATAGGAGATGAATTCTCATTTTCTATTTTGGGGCTAAATCATCTTTTGGTCTGTTATGAGAATACATGTCATGCAAAATGATTTGATATCATCCCTTATTTCTCAATGGGAAAAAACTATATGATTTGATGATGAAGGAAAAAATTTAAAATTCAAATGCTTACAACTAACTAATCTTCATCCATCTAGTGATAAGTCAAAGTATTGGCCAATATGTAGATACGAGAACCAAATTTTTTTTCGCAAACTCAAACCATATTAATATAACAATATCCAAAAAAGACTTGATGAAGATCTTCATTTCCAAGTTATTGAAGTTTCTGAAAATGCTAGAGATTTATGTTGGAATATGGACGGCAAAAAGAAATTAAGTGGATTGAGTTAAACGCAGAAGTGCAAAATACAGTTATGAAATGAAACCAGGAGGTGACGTGAGATGAAATCATGATTAACTCAACTGACACTCATGCATAAACCGTCTTGTCCATGGCATCCATCACTAGGTGGAGATGGCTTTGAGTGGATCATGTCCAGGCCTCTTTAAATACGACACATACGGAACTTGAGGGCCAAAGTGCTGTATTTCGTTTTCAGAAAGTTCCTTATTTCCAACAAAAAATCTTTGTTCTCTAGGTGTAGAAACTAACGGAATCATTTAACTAAAACTTTGGGGTGACAATTTTTGACAAATCTTTGTTGATGTAGTTGATTTTACTAGAGAAACTTACGTAAATATTCAGCTAAATCTTTGCAGTGATCGTTTCTGACAATTTCTTTGTTCATTACCGTTACTTTACTGGAGAAACTAACTGAATCTTTGACTAAAACTTTGGTGCGACACCTGATGAGTTCAACCAAGTTCTAGTATTTTGTTTCCTTAGTTACTTCATTCACTTGTAGCTTTGAAAACACAAAAAAATTATTCAACTAGTTATAAAATATCAAGAAATTTTCAAAATTTCTCGGAAATAAAAGTACAAAGATAAAATAGTGAACCGAGAACATTACGAAGTCGATGTTCTATGTGCACAAAAATCTGTTGATTGAAAAGTTTGATTCCAGGTTTTAAAAATAGATTTCCTCAACTCATGGAGTTTTTCGTAGTAGTAGTTTCACCATTTTCAAACACTTGAACGCTCTGGAGAGTGATTTCTCCTTGCTGAAATGGAAAAAGTATATTCAGATATCAAAGATAACACCCATTTCTCTCAAAGTTGTATTGCATTGACAACAAATTCGACCGAACATGAGAATTTAGATCAAAATTCGGCCGAAAACTGATGAGTTCCTTATATTCCGTATTTTGATTTGAAAATTATACTTATTTTGTTGAGATACGGAACATAAAGAATCCGCACTATATAGAGAGGTCTGATCATGTCGAATAATCGAAATCACAATATGCAAATATTAGAAAACATGAGAAACAACAATCATAAGAGCCACGGCAAATAATGAGTATCCAAAAGAAGAAAACAAATGATTCACGCATGAATGCGACCTTTCTGGGACTGCGTGCTCGCTCGAGCGATCGATGCCTCGTGAGAGGACCTTGTGCACCCACTGGTCAGAGAGGGGCCACCGACCGTCAGCATCAAATGAACGAGATTGCCTCGGGATCGTGCACACGACGAGCACTGCGTCAGATCCACCTTTGGAGAAAAGGGCATTTTTGGATATTCGTCGAGGCTGATTATTAATCTGGTGGACAGCAGATCGCAGGTGGTGGTCCAGGGATGAAAAACTGCTCTATGGATAAAAACCCCATTCGAGGCAGAGGCAGACAAGGCAGACATCCGTAGGCTATGGAGTCCGGTTGACCACTGCTGGAAACATGAACCTATAATAAGTCCCAGACTGCGGGACTCGTTGCCCTTGGACAGAGTTAGCATGAGGACCAGAGCGTAGACCAGAGCATGAAGCAGTCGCGGTTCGGGCCCCACATGAAACGACGGAATGGATGTCGACTTTGTGTTGTGAGCGATGAATAAAACCCAGTAGGGCTTCCTTCGCGTGACAGTGGCCAATTACTGGGGTCGAAGGTGGTGGGGAAGTTGCTGCCGTACTACCTAGGGGCTTATTTTTAGAGGTACAGGAGTAGCAGCATCAGGCGGCTGAATTAACGAGAATTTCACCTACTACCACCAGTGACTAGCGTCGTAAACAAGCTACGGGTTCAGCCAAAAACTGGGTGGGAGGGAAGGTCCTCAAATGCAGCGCAAATTTTGCCATTTTCGTTTCAAGTACGCAGCCGCCGTCTAACCTTTGCCCGTGCTAACCAGATCTCAACTTCTCCTCGGTCGATGCCACTCTCCTGTCTTAAATTTTGACTATGGTTTGTCCAAAAGTGCTGACTTCTCCATTCCGCCGTACTTTGTTTGGATCGACACTTCAGACTGTCACGTTTTATCGCGCATGAGAGGGGCTGCTCGTGACTGACAGTTATGGCGCGACGTACGATCTTCACATCATATCCATGAACTTGGTAATTACTCCTTCCGGTACGTAGCAATCACAACTTTTCCAACACTACCGTTCGGCAATATTGGAGACAGTAACCAGACTTTGTTCCCAAGGTACAGTACTTCCAATTTCAGGTTTAAACCTCGAACACATGGTGCCAAAGTACGAGGTGCATATTCGACTCGACCCTCTCACTCCCTTCGATATGAAATTTGCTCGTTTCACGATCATGCTGCGAACGAAGAATGCACATAGACGATTGTAAACTCTCGACGACCGACCTACCCCAGAAAAAAGTATCGAGAAACTTGATTCCCACGCACACTCATGCACAATTACCCTCATCAGAGACAGTCACATGTTCGTGAACGTCGATACAGTTTATTTCCAAGTTGAACCGTATACATCAAAGCAGTTAGCAGACGCTTCTGCGTTTGAAGCTTGCTCCATACCCAGTGAACCACAATCTTACAAATATGTGTTTGTTCTTTCTTCCCGATGGAAGTCGCCAGCGTGACCTGTACAGCTGGACTCGCTATAAGGGAGTGAGGTTTGAGGAGCTATTACAGATCCTCCCTACAATAGTCAGTATCGCTTTCTTCTCTTCGCTATGTACACTGACCACACAATGGTCCATCGCTTCAGAGCCTTTACTGGACTACGGGACTGTCAAAACATCGTCTCCTACATGTTTCCGACTACGAGCTACAACTCCTGTCGATGCTCAATCTATGTACAACACCATACACACTCGCACGCTATTTGTACAAGGTGAGTGCGCAGGTCCTCTCCTAGGGCTCAGAAAGAAGAAGGTAATCAATCGAGAGATCATGGTCTGATGTGGTTCGAGTAATCATATGTGCCGGCGCCCTCGAACCCCATCCACTCTTCCCACGAGTCCCAGTGCTCATCACCCACTCCATAACATCCTTCGATGTACTCGTCACCGCCGCAAGGCCTCCTGTCATCGCTCAGCGGAGGAAGCTGGTTCAAGGCGCGCTGCAAATTGAAGAGTCCAACGACGCCATCGTCAGAATTACATCCACAGCTTCGATCTCATCCTGTTCTAGACATCTCTTGACCGACGAACGGGCGAAATACGAACGCTAACGAACGAGAAAGTGCAAACGCAATTGAATTAGAAGACAGGGTATTCACCTCGTAAGCGCCGGTGATCTGGGCCATCTTGGCGGTGAAGTGTTCGCCTTTGTTGAGATCCGGATGAAACTGCATCAACAGAGCGACGATGAGAAAACTGAAGTTTCCATGAATTATTTCACGACACGGACGCAATTGGTGCCAAGTCGGTTGCCTAGGCAGTTGAGCTCGACAAAATCGGCCAAAGCCATCACCAATTGCTCGGATCTGGTACCCAGAAACGCCACAACTACAAAAAACCGAGGATCCAAGACCCGCCGCGCAACAAGACCACGGCACAATGGGAACGACCAATTCATAGTCCGGAATTATGAATAGAAGAGTACCTGGATCGCCAGGGCACGGAAAGCGCCCTTGATTTCTTGCTTCGAGGCGCCACGACTGACCCCGAGGATGTGGTAGCAGTCCAGCTCAGTCTCAGTCATGAACGCGGCAGCAGTGCCGACACGAGGAGGACTGGGGCTGGAGCAGGGGCTGTAGCTCCGGCCGCCCGACTTGCAATCGAGCCCGAAACCCACGGCTCGGCTGGGAATCGGACACGGCAGCGACTCGCCCTTGAACGAACTCCCGAGCGGAGTGCCAATCTTGCTTGTCAGAGCGTTCAATCCTACAATCTGCGCCATGTTGCAAAAGCCTCTCGCCCCTCCTCAATTCAATTCAATTCAATTCAATCGCCTTCCCTCGATTTCCTTTCCCTTCGCTTCCCTAAGCACACAATTTCACCACCAACCTCGACTCGAAAGGCACGCAATTCGATTCCCGTGCACGAGAAGTCTGCGATGCGAACTACGAAGCACACTTGAAGAGAACGAGAGAGATATTGAGAGAGAGAGAGAGAGAGAGAGAGAGAGATGAGCGACACAAGGACGTAGAGAGTTTGCGTAGAGCAAAGTAGAGCAGGGAGAGAATTGGAGAATTGGAGAATTAGCGAGTAATAAAAGGGGAACGGCGTCTCTGGCTCGCAGGCAGGACAGCTGCGCGAGATTTATAACGAGGGAGCAGGCAAATTGGCTCCGCAGATTTAGAGAAGGCCGAGAGGCAGAGGAGACAGAGCGAGAGAGAGACAGAGGGAAAGTGGGAGAGATGGCACCTTAGGGCGCGTCGGGAGGGCCTAATATTCCGCGACCGCTCCAGGAACCGAGAAATGGATTAAGTTGAGAAGGTGGGCCGGAACAGGATAAGCTTGTGTCGGTCGGGCGGGCAGGCGAGGCGGTGTTTTGTACTCGTTGCCCGCCTGGCCTCGGCTTCTAGCACTAGGCCGGCCCCAAGGGGCCCCCCTACGTGGCGAGCCACGCCGGCGGATCCCTCCTCCTCCTCTGTACAAGAACATTCCAGCTTCCCGTCATGGAAAACGTTCTTGTGAAGGAAGGGAAGGGAGCACTCCTTTCTCGGGTCTGCGAATGGCCGTCGCAATGCCATCGCGAATTTCTTCACCCGTGTTGGGTATCGGCGCTTCTCGGTTCGCGAAGACCGTGACCGTGACAGGACCATTCGCGCTGTCGTCCCATCGACGGGCGGACGGACGGCAAGCCAGTTTCAACCGAACGGCACACTCGCGCTGCGGTTGGCGACTCGTGCAGCGTAGCCTCGCTATTATCGCGGTCGGATGATGCTTCCTTCCTTTATATTATATTTATCCACTCGAGATAAGCAAAAGGGGCTCGTGTACCCACTTTAGGACACGGTGGGTCGTGGCAGATCCCAGATCCAGGACTAAACTATCACCACCGCCTAAAAAAAATAAATGTTTATCTTTTGAGACCTTTGTGACTTGACGGCGAATTAAATAATTCAGGGGTTAAGGAATTAAGAAAAATGTCATTTTTCTTCTACATCTTGGGCCTAATTCTGGACCAGAGGCCGTCGGAACGGCGGGTGAACGTTCTGCAACCGTCGTGGTCGTCTCGGGTCAAATTATCCGAAAGGCAGGGCTCCGTACGAGGACGTTGCGGACGAAGGCTGGGCGTACGACCACGTGTCTCGACGGCGTGCTGGCGGACTCGTTACGGATAAGCTCCACGTTCGATTCCACGTCAGGAGGAGGAGCGGCCGCAACGGATTCCGAGACCGGAGGACGTCGGCCTGAGTAACGCCCAGACTCGGCATCCGCGGTTGTCCGCCCGAAGGATTCTCCTACCGTCTCGGCGGTCCTCCGCCCCGAGCAGGCCCCTCGTCCGCCTCCCGCCGCGCACTGCACTGTACTTTCGGCCGCGTCCGAGGTGGCGTCCTCGACGACCTCGACCTTTCCCACTTCGGTCGGACGACCCCACCCCATTATTGCTTCTCGGTACCGCGAGAAGAGCAACCTCCACCTGCCTCTCTCTCTCGTCCGGGCAGCCCGTACTCCAGCTCGAGCTCCGCGCAGCTTTGCTGGAACGACCGGTCCCAGCAGGTCACCTCCAGGAAGCCCTCCATCGCGAGTACTCTTCTCGGAGCGATGAACGAGGCGAGACCGATAAGGACCCAGCCGAGAATTAACCCTGAGAACGAACCCGAGAACGAACCCGAGGTAAACCCGCAGCACCGAGAGGCGCCTCGGTGTCGCCATCGCTTTCGCATCTCGGCGCCAGATCTGCTCTCATGACCGTCGGATCGGGTGCCGAGGTTACTATTTGTGTGTCCTCTGGCTCGCGATTCGGCCAAAATAGGCCGAGCAACTAAACCGTGTTCTCCCTCGCCGGTCAGAGGTGGACCAATGAGAATCGTCCAGATCACTGCCAGTCGAAAAGCGTTCGCTGGGGTAAATGCTGCGGGCTCGGCTCCAAATAGATGGGCTTTCGTAGGCCCGTAGCCGCGTAGATATGATTCACTTGGCGGATCCGCGGGATGCCTCGCCAAATATATCCGCCCGGAGGTTACCTTGACCCGAGGTTACCTTCGAGGATGAACCTGGGTTCGTTCCAGGAGCACATCATCTGCACTCGGGCTCTCGGACTGTGTATCGCCGCGCATCGATGATCCAGTTTAGCGGTTTTCCAGCGAGGTACGTAATCCGCATTCGGAGACGTGGCGCCTCGTCCGAACCACCCCGACAAGTGGCGGTGTCGCCAAGATAACTCCTAGTTGAGATATGGATAGCGAACTGCCAGTTGCTGCGTGGTCGGCGGTTATTTGCCACTCGTGTTAGGCCTTATCGAGTCCTTTAATGTAGGAGAGTTTGCATCCCCGAAACTGACTTCTCTAATTTCAGAGTGCGAATATCTCGTCCCTCTTCCGGCCATCTCGTTCTAGTGGCCTCACCCCATCTTTGCCAGCATGACGTCAGTTTTGATTTCGTTTTCATCTGTGAGAGTCATCGAGCTGACGCATATGGCTTACATACTTAATTCCAAATTAAAACTCTGTGAACTATGTTAGCAAGGGTTACCGCAACTATGGTGTGATAGATTGAATACATAGATTGAGAAATCACCGACTACGTCTTATACATTACTTTGGATCGGTTTCAAAGGTGAAAGTGTTCCTCCGTGGCTGGACGCGTAGATTATTCTTCCTGGAAACCTCGAAGAAAAAGGCATATACCGCGGTCAAGGGGAATGCTTTAGTGCCAGAACGTACTTTGTCACGACTGAAAACATAGGTATAAAACACATTGAGGTTTTTTATAAGTAGTAAGTATATATATGAGTCAACCGCTATCATAAAACAAACTAAAAAACAACCTCTTGGGATGTGTGAATATACAAGGATTTTTGGGAGGAGTGCATTTATTGACATGGAAGTGAACGGGGGAGATCTTTACGTAATTATTGACTATCTTTCTCGATCGATGGTGAATGAAGAGCTACCGGGCAAAGTTCCCACATATGAAGTTAAGTAGAGATATCAACTATTTTTCTTTCTGTTCTTTAAAAGATAAGCGTCACTTTTTTTATATGAAAATTGTATAAGTGTTCTAGTTTATTGTGAATATTAAATTAGTAAAAATCATTTCTATAAACTATTACATATTTTTATATGTATTGAAATATGCATATTAAATTCTCCATATACACTATATATTTAGTGTATATAGATCAATTTTTATGGATTATTTAAAAATAAAAAACATTCTCACGGTGCTGTTACTATACATTTTGATTTTATCCACACACAACTTGAGCCAAAAATATATCGCATAAAGATATTCTCAAAATTTTTTATATATAACTTGATTATCAGCGTGAAGTTTGCTCCAAAATGATATTGAGTCAAATTTTTTATCTTGGAACAAAAAATCTACTCTTTGATTTCTTGTTGTTGAAGTGAATGACACAAGGGGCACATCAGAGGAGTATTCAACATGGAAAATCCAAATTTTTCTTGTGGATGGATCGCTTATTTATGCTCAAGGTACGCGTTTAAGCTATATCTGAGAGCAAATCAACGAAGCAAATCTGAAAATTATTTTAGAAACTATTAAGGAGAAAGGTAGACTTATTCATCCTTGTTGCTGATTGTTTACATGGATTCCTGGAATTGACCTCATGTGATTCATCCTGCTCTAGTTTTGTCTTTACTTCGCAAATTAAAGGGACAGTAGAATAGACATTCTTATCAACATATCAATTTCCACAAAAAATACAAATTCGAGAAAAATTCTATGAAGAATGAACATTAGGACTCCAATACAAGCTCCAGAGTGTGTTCTCTAAGAGAAATTATCTTCTCTATATTTAGCTGAATTGTGAAATATTTTCTAGAATCATTGACAACGCGATCACATCAGAGTGATAAAGGTGAATATCAAGAAAGTTTTACATTCTCTATATGAACATCTTTGATAATCTATATTTTCTTATTGCTTAAATCGAAAATCATATTCTGTTGAATATAATATGACCTTGTTTAAAGTCTATCATGCATATATACATGTCTTAATATTAAATAATTAATAATCATAATGAACAATTTCTGCCTCTTAGGTTTGAAAGATTGGTACAAAAAGAAAACTTTAATTAGACTAGATTGTGTAAAAAAATTCTTCTAACTCAAAATAAGTAAATAAATTTCGGCTTATTAGTGATTATTAGTTCATTACATTTTATAGTATTGACCCAAAATTCTATTTTTAATTGTGGAATTCAACAAAAAATATTATTTTAAAGCATCGAGTACAAATTAAATTTATCCAAAATATTTCATTACATGTAATGAAATATAGATTATCGGAAAAAAATTCTTATTATAAAAATTAAAAATGAAAAAAATAATTTTAGTACTTAAAACTTTTCAATCATGTTTATATTTTATCTACAAAGTTGATTAAATTCAACGTTTTTCCATTTAGAATATCATAAATAACAAAGTTTGACCAAATATTTGAATAAGCTTTTAAATAATTTTATGAAACATATGTCCAATTAATTTAAGTCTTAAAATTTTTAATTTTATTAAATTGAAAATATAAGTATTCAAAAAAATATTATATATCAGTTATTGGATGATTATCATTAGGGTATATAAAAATGATATTCGATGAAAATTTTGATAAAAAATATTCATTACAAAAAAACACAATTTGATTTAAATAACATAGATTTTTTGATTTAATTATTACATCATAAATAATGAAATTTTTGATCGATTATATTGAAAGAAAAAGAAGATTTCTTCGTTGAAATCTGAAATTATTTTAATCTTATGGTATTTTTATACATTTTAAATTTTTAAATTTTACATTTTTAGATAGCGAATATCAATGACTTGCTGAGATTGTGGCATAAATATCATATACATTATCTTTTGAAACTTTCGAAATTATTGGATTGTATTAAATAAAATAATGATTGTTTTAATAAAAATATAATAGTAATAGTAATTGGTATGCAATTTATAAACAACATCGTTGAATCAAACATTAAATTCATGTTGAAACGTTCATGGATCACTCCAGGTTATTAATTGGGATTCATTCAACCATATGAACAGTGTCGTAGATTGGTTATATGAACCACATATATTCGATTAATGAGTGTATAGCAATCACTGAAAATATCATTTGGATTTTGTCAAAAATCCAAAAGTTTATTTTATGAACTTTACAGTAAGTCATATAGCAAAAGATAATTTGACTTGTTATTATACAAGATGTGGAAATGAGGTTTCACGCCCTCGTGGAAGAAATATCTGTAATAGCTACCTTTAATGTTCCCTGATTGAAATTTAATCTAAACCAACCAGAGAATTTATCACTACTCACCAAACCACGAATCTTCTAACCTAGTAAGCCTTGCCTTCAAGTTCATGAAACTACTCACTGCCTTATGAACCACGTACAGTTTGCTAGAGACCAGAATTTCATAAGTATAAGATACTGTAATTCGCAGTTTGCCTTCGGAAATCTGGCTGCAAAGGACAGGACTTCTAACCCAGTAAGCCTTGACTTAATCAAATTGCTTACTGCCTCATGAACCACGTACAGACCGGTATAAACCGGCAGTTCAATATTGTATCTCAAGACAAGAATTTGGTCTAAAAACTTGAATGATTAGTAACATATGATGAAAATTTTGTGCTTTTGAGAATCATTAAGAGGATCGATCACGTGTCACAAGGGATCTAAATCATTTACAGACCATAATAGAAAGAAATAATGCTTGAAGTATGTCGGAGAACGGAGTTACGTGTTAGCCTTCACTTTAAACCCCAAAGTAAATTAAGTGATATAGCGAAAGGGAACAATGACCTTACACATAAATGGAGCTAGGAGCCAAGTTCAACACCATGGAAGATATATATAATCCTTAGTCTAAATTATGCAAGCTATCTAAATGAAATGATTTACCAATAGAAAAAAGAAAGCGGTAGTCATATAACTGCTTTTAATCCTATTACAACAGATTATAGATAATGGCAAAATTGCAATACATCTATAACACTAGAGCCAAAAAAGTAAGACCGCTGCGTTCACTCACTCACTCGCTCGGAATTTACACTGAAGACCGAAATCTGGAGAAGAGTATGAGTACGAGGGGACTTTCTCTTTATGGACAAGAAAGAGTATGACGGACTGGAAGGTGACGTGCATGGCGCTTGACTGGGAACAGGACGACCGACCACTGTGCCGAGGACGCCAGTCACCTCCGCGAGCATATGCTTTGGATGCGTCGCTTCTGAGCTTCAGACAAAGCAAGTGACCCACCGTCCACCACTCGTCGCCTGCTGCTTCTCTCTCTGAATCTCCAGGTCCATATTGACCGTAATAAACTCATGATCGAGACATGTCAAGGAACTCGAATGAAAATGACGTACGTGCCTGGTGCTGCACTCTGCCCGAGCAGTCAGCGCAAGATTTCGCAGTATCTCTTGAACTCTTTCCCAAATGTGCAGAGTCTGATTTGCATCCACTCTCTTGCCCTGACGACACGACACGAAGAAGAAGACGAAGAAGGGTGAGGGACTTCAGGACCTTGAGCTTGAGCTCGAGTAGACGAGCCATGCATGATCGGGGTTTTGATAGCCGCCAGCATCGATCGGTCAATCAATCATTTGAACGCTGGTCTGACTGGCGGCAACCAGCTCTCATGTGAGACGACTCAATCGGTGGATGACCGAACGGACCAGTCAGTTTTGTCAAGTTCCTGATATCGACCGGCAAACCTAAATTGTCTGACTGGCTGGACCCCACTTACTGTATCTTCTTCGTATCGATCCCGTCTATGTATCCAAAGGTCACAGCAAGAGTGATACCGTATCACTCTTGCTGTGACCTTTGGATACATAGACGGGAATGTGACCTTTGGATACACTGATACGGGTTTTCATTTCTCCTGGCAAGTTGGTGTTATCACTCGTGCCATGTTTATCACATCTGGTTTGACGTACATCACATATCGATTCATAATAAGAGTGTTCAGTCATCATTCATCTTTTCGTGATGGTTAGATCTGGGAGACTGTCTGGAGCAAACATATGCGCTGAAAGTAACTAAGCAAGTATTGTAACCTCTTGATATGAGAAAACAATATTTCTTCATATATGTAAATTGTGTAGAATCAATGTTTTTTTATCATGAAAAGTGTTCTTTAACTGTGAACTGTAAGTAAGTGTGCACTAAATCTTAATAAGTTGAACAATATAAGAAATTTATAAGATTATTGGAATGATTGTTGTACCACAATAAAACTATCAAAGTTGTCTATGAATTTCGTGTGTTAGTTCAATTGTTATATGAAGTTAGATTTTGGCTTATGAAAATTACTTCACATAGTCAAAAGTTGAAACCACATGTTATGAATAGCGCTTTTTGGTATATTATAATATATACTAAACTACAACTAGTTTGAAAAAATCATTTATTTTTGTTGAAAATAGTATAAAATGATTTATTATGATTATTTTTCACTAAAATTACTTTCATAATCAGCCCTATCGTAGCAACTCAACATATAACGTCATATCTACAAAAAATATTTTTTAAAATTTATTTTTATTTATATTTTTATAAACTAATAATAATAATAATAATTTTCATACGTCAAAATCTAACTCCATAAACAATTGAATTATCACACGAAATTTATATACAAATTTAATAGATTCATCGTGGTACAACAATCATTCCAATAATTAAAAAAATTTCTTATTATTAAGAAGTAATATCTGTGAAAAATTACTTCAAATGAAGTAATCTTTGTGATATAGTCATAAATTATAATTTTAGAAATGTTAGAAAATGTAGTTTTATTTGAAAACTCAGGTGTTCAACATGATATGGTAAATACATGTTTGATGAAATGAACAAACTGGATATATCATGTTCTTCATTTTAGTATGTTAGATTAATGTGGAGTTGAATGCTAAGATGATCATTAAGAAAGTTCAAGTAACATTGGAAACTCGATTGATGTTTATAGACATGTGTACTTGGAGCCCATATGACAAACCAATTTTATAAGAGTTGACATGGAATCTCAATCCAATCAAGTATTCAATAAATGACTAGGTTGGTAGTATTTATCTTTATCATGGCAAAAATCAACAACAATATACAGGAATGATTCATATGAAATATATCTGATTTTTCATAAATTTTATCATTCAATGTAGAAATTACTTTTATAGTAGGATGAAAAAACAACTTGAGATGAGATGGTTCCGTATGACATGTCTAATTATATAAATGGTAAATGGCCCAGGAACCCAAAGGGTCAAAAGGCTGAAATACACGATACAATTTCAGTAAAAGTGTCTTATGTAATAGAGTTTTTCAACTTGTTTGTGGTCAGTTTTTCAAAGCCAAATAATTCCGTCATAAAAACAACAATGAATGCAGTATTTTAATAAGGAAAATAAAACATTTTCTAGTTGTAAAGTTATAAAAACATCATTTTTTTATAAACAGTTCAGTTTCCATGTAGAAAGAGAATGACTTGTTTAAGATTCAATTTTTTTCCTACATTTGAATTCTATTATAACTTCATTTCAAAAAGTGTTTGTTGTACAGATCTTTGAATTGTTAAAATTAATGATTTAAGTATAATTTTGCAATTGTAAACCAAATATTTTGTTTACATTGTAGGTGGATTCAAGTTTCATTTTGATATGTCACATTATTTACCTCACTTTCGTTCACAATTCCGCACAATGTCTAATCTAAATAAGCTTAACTCACAATAAAATTGAAAACAATTGAAGTCTATTCCACATCAATTCAAGATGCACTGAAGAGATGTGAAGTACATTTTATCCTATGTAAATACTATAAATAAATTACAGTTCGTTCTTGATGTGTTGTACAGTACATACATGATATTGTGTCAATTAAGAGAATCAACCATCGTATAAAGTGTATAAGATGTCACACAGTTAGCTTGGCTGTGACAGATTTCTAATTTTTTAAAATTAGTGATGTGTCGACCGTTTTCTCATGACGTGTATCATATTGATTCGATGTTACCCTCTGCGTATTTCCTCATCACGTATTTTTACTGGTTCGATGTTACACTGCGTATTCGATCAAGCCTACCACGACACCGGTAGCTCTTGTTTCGCCATAGTCGAGAACGAGTCAACCACTACAGGAATGGTATACATGGTATCGGGTGGACCGCTTACATCATATTACACTCAGGATGAGATAATCCGGTGTGGTCAGCATGTCACATGCCATGTTTCCGGCTGGTGATTTCAATACCGAGGTGTAAACTCCACACTGATTAGCCTTCGCAGCAAGCAAAAGTGTTCCCAGTTCAAAATTGTGAAAAAGTTTTGGCTTGTTCACTGAGCGTATGCAATCAGGGGCAGACTTTACACAACGTACAAATTTTTCGATTCGTTTAACGAGCACAATATATATTACTTCGCGACAGAGTATTTCTGAGATTTTTCAAAGGTTGGCCACGTGCTGATATTAGGACGGAGGCATTAATACTTGGACTTGGACTTGGACGGTCCAAGTATTCGGAAGAAAATACGATGGTTGAATAGTTTGCGCGACACATGGGACAGCAATATTGTGTTACTAGAAGACATAGAAGTACTCATAGTATTTGAGTATATATATTTCAGTACTATACTTATATATTTCTGCAACCCTGAAGATGGAGAACATATCTCCGTACATCTGCATCACACTCAGATATTGATTTGAACAGACGAAGAAAGAATAAAGAATAAAGAATAAAGAATTTTGTTAGCATGACCAACTTCAGCTTCTCTGAAATAGACTCTAATTCAATTTAGCCAGGTTTTCAAATATCGCCGGTGGCATCGAGATGGTACACGCATTAATTTCAAGAATTTGGTGACAACTTCGCAAAGAAGTGCACCTCACGGAAACAAGGAATTTTAAGAAGACCAAGTGAATACATCCTCGCCTCTACGTTTTATACGAGTGTTCGCATCACCGTCAGTACATTAATCCATACCACACTTGCTACTTAAAATTCTCTATCTCCCGCGATTTCGTAAGGCGCGAAGGATGGTGCAACAAATCTCGTGCAATATGAACCGTACAAAAAGCAGAAAACAACTGTCGTGGTCAAGGAAATTGATTCGCATTGCTTCCACGTTCCAAAGGCACAAGCTGGCCCATATATGAGTGATACTAATCGCTAGGCAGAAAGGAATAAAAGAGGCATAGATACAGACATCCAGAGAACATACAGTGAAAAGTCGGAGCAGGGAAGGGGCAGCGATCTAAGAGCCAGGAAGACCACGCATGACAATAACCTTCACGAAAGTCTGAAAGGGACGGGTGAGGATATTTTAAGCGTCGGACACTATCCTTCACACTATGATCATCTTAAATAGCGACATAGGAAAAGTTTCAAGAGCTCAGATTGACATACAGTGCATCACAGGGCCCTACGCGCTGCACAGCAAGGCTCAGTATCAGTTAGAAAACAGAACCTCACCCATGACCTTGCCTTAAAGTCTACATGAAAGAAAAGTACTAAACCTTTAGGTGAACCAACCATATTGAGCGCGTATCGTTAAGAACCAGCAGATTGAACTCATCCAAGGTGCAATTAAAAAGTCATTGTTTCACGTATATTAACCTATATAGATGTGTATTGAGCTTTGCTGCTTTACATTTCATGCTAAAGTCATTCTAAACAAGTATGCTTGCTAGCAGACTTACACAGATACACATACATACAAAATCGTATGTATACAAATAACCTCGACACACCATAAAACTGAACTAACCATGATAAATTTCGTTAGTGAAAGAAGGGCACCCAGCAACAAGAAGCACAAAATGTCCACCAGCGAGAAAGACAGGGATACCCATCATCTTAACCCTCACAAATAAAACATGACGAAAATTGGTGTGGTAAGAACAAGAACAAATACCCAGAAAGGTACATGGGTTCAAGTCTTTTCCTAAGATATAGCGTACCGTGGTGCACACAAATGGAACCACACAATTTGGATTACTAACGTGATTCTTGGACCCGGTGACAAATACTCTACCGATAGCATGCATATTGGATGAGTTCCTGATACGTGCACTGGTACCTTTCAATGAGTGTATGCTGTGCTGCTATCGACTGCTGTACAGCACAACCATCCGATATACACCAGGAGGCAGAAAAGTTGTAAGGTTGTCCAGCCGAACATTCAATCTTGATGCACTTGTACCACCCGTTGAGTGTGGAGCAACGTTAAGTTCAGATGACGAGGAAGGAGCCATACCAAAACGTCATCAAGTTATATAAGCAACGGGTATACCACGTATATCAGTCCTGTATAAATTTATGAGTATTTTTGATGACTAAAAGTGTAGATTGTTATACATCTACGAGATTTATGGACTTCTACGCAGATGCAAGTTCTCGTATTCGCGATTAGCACATGAGCAAAGTAAAGTAGGAGCAGATTGAATTTAAGCCTATCACAAATTTCAGCGATCACACAAACTATTGAGACACAATTGTACATAGAACTCACTTGAGTACAGCTTTCCGTCATATCAATTCTTTCATTCAGTATGACTCCAGGACATTGCAGCAAGATTTGAGCAAGACAAACAGTTCTAGACGGATACATCCATTGCCACCATAACACAGTAGAGGAAAAAAATGACACCGAATTTGGTAAGCTACATAACACAGTAGGACAGAACCTTCCACTGTCAAGGCCGTCTAGGTCCATTGCTTGTACATTTGTTTCCTGTGGAAGAAATCTGCGACAGGAGGTGATGAAAGAACCGAACATTCTCAGGAAAATTTTCTACAGCAGTAGATCTGGAATAGTCGAGACTGCTGCAGACGAATTTGAATTACTGCTTTCCCCCACGAGCAGCGTCGCGCAGAATAAATATTCCGAAACCTCCTTCAAGAAGAAAGTTTGGCGCAGCAGGTAATACGGACCTGGTATCCTTCCCGACTAAGAAAATTATCTATTTTGAAGATAACTACTGTGATGACCTCCGTAGACCCAGCATGGTTAGTGGTCTGAATTGAAGGCCAGTGCACAGTGTTGAAGGATTCACGTTTGAAGTTCCCTACATCAGACAAAGACCCTACCGCTTCTTCGACACACCGACTGTTCTTCCGCGACGACCAGTGGTCTTTGTGTGCTGACCACGCACACGCAGGCCCCAATAATGTCGGAGACCACGGTGGTTCCTACATGTCCGCAATTTCTATCAGCCTTGAATCACAGTACATACATACTCGTAGAAAGAACAAGTGTTTCATAACGAAACCATGAAATTTGAAAAAGACAGTGTTCCAAAACATTCATACCTGATCTTCTTCAGTCGCTCCAGATCATCTCTGAGTTTCATGTCGAGAGCATTCGACACTACTTGCGAGTATCGACCATCCTTGTGGTCTTTCTTTCTGTTCAAAAACCAATCTGGGATTTTGAACTGCCTTGGGTTACCGACGATGACCATTAAGTTCTCCAGCTCTGCAGCTGAAAGCTCTCCAGCCCTGAATGTCGTGAAGGGACAAGTGCATTCTCAGTACACTCCTCGAGAGATCCCGCGCGTTGAAATTCGTTAAACTTAAAATGAATTAGACAAAGCCTACCTCTTGCTCATGTCAACATCTGCCTTCTTGCAGACGAGGTTGGCAAAACGACGACCCACACCTTTGATAGAGGTCAGAGCGAACATAATTTTCTGCCTCCCGTCGACATTTGTGTTCAGCACACGAAGAATGTGCTGAAATTCTTCCCCAGCTATCAACGACTGCACACGTTCCAGCGAAACATCAGCCTCCGCAATGTAAGGTGCTAGTCGCGACCAGGTGAACTGGAGACAGCGTACGCGACTTCTATTGCAAATTCAAGCAGAATTGAAAGATTGAGAATGCAGAGAGAAGACCTGTGACTTAGTATTCGGGACTTGCTCAGATCGGCGTCATTAGGAACAACTCTTATGCAATGGTTTCATAAAAAACATGCCTGGAGTACAATAAATCCACACAACAGATGCCCCACATCGACGCATTTTGACTTTCGAGAGAAAATTTTCAGCGCCAAGTTGATTTAAAATTGCGCCAACTCACAGAGCCCGAAAAAGTAACCATTCCATCAGAGAATCTAGACGAGCACAACGAGCTTTCAGGAAATTGACATCATACAAAAGCTCAAGCCCGCATCATAAGAGCTAACGTACCATGATGAAGGAATCTCCTCCGTCTACAGGCGGAATTCTTCAGAACGAGAGAGCGCGTGAACCGCTTCGAGCTTCGAGGACACGAAAAAGAGCGAGAACGACGAGAGTTGCTGGTTTTAGGTTTAGGGCTCTGTTCTGGAACGGAGCCCACTGTACCAAGAGTTCAACCACGGCTAACCCGGGTCACCAGGTTCGGCAGTTACAGGACAATATAGTTCAGAAGACTATGCGGAGCACGGTCGGTCACGAAACCAGGTACGGCACGCTGCGTTCAGGCTACAAGAACATGCAGTTCTTGTACAGCGTAGATTCGACCACACGGTGACCATTTAGGGTTTGTCTGGATGTGAGGAAACGACATGTTCGTGATTAGCTCGAAGAAATGAATGGGGCGAGAGTTAGGTCTGAAGAAGTCGTGCTCGGAGTGCTGGTTTTTCCGTCGGAGGAGGTGAATCTCGGAAGTCCTTCGGCCTCGAGATTGGATCAGTTATGGATGGCGGGGCGGGAGGCAATGCAGGTGGTGGAGGGTTGTCGACTGCCAAAACTCCTGCCGATTTTCTCAAGTCCATCAGAGGACGCCCTGTCGTTGTGAAGCTTAATTCAGGAGTCGACTACAGAGGTCAGTTCCTTTGCTCGTAATTTTCACGTGCGGGCCCGTTGTCGATGTTGGAAGACCCCCTATGCTTGTATGACTTGTTCTTGGCTGGCAGAAGATGTCTCCATTGGAGCCATTTGGAAACCGGGTCGATTACATCGATATGAAATCTGATTGGATTTTGAGTCGACTGTGTCGAGCGGGTCCGAATTGAACTAAATTTGAGTTCTTTGTGGGAGGTTGCATTGGGGTTCGAGCCGTAAAATTTATGCTTGTAAAACCTGAGATTGTTTTGCCGGGCAGGAATCTTGGCCTGTCTAGATGGATATATGAACATCGCAATGGAGCAGACAGAGGAGTACGTGAATGGACAACTGAAGAACAAGTATGGCGATGCGTTCATTCGCGGAAATAATGGTATGTCTCCAGTATGTCACAATTTGCTTTTGATTCCATTTGATGTATCGTTTGTTGTCATATATCATCGAGGTTCTGCGGGAGCCATGGATCTTTTTGTAACTTCTGATTCGTATTACCCACATTCTTCTACAGTACTATACATCAGCACGACGAAGAGGACTCTCGGAGATCAGTGAGAAAGCTGCAGATGTCAGCACTCGTATACAGAGGAAGGCAAATGATGGGAGAGAGAGCTTCTTATGGAACCCAGGTTGGGGTCGCATGCGACCTTTGTTATATTTTACTGTTTCATAACACCTTTCTTATTTCGGGTCGGTGCATCGCATCGCCCTGAGTTGTGAGTATCTTTGTTTAAATGAGTAGATTTTCAGAATTCAATGGACCCGGCCGTCATTTTCGAGAAGTTCTATAGAAGTTTATCAAGGATTATGCGGAGCTATTTTCTTTACAGAGGCTTTCAAGTCCTCCGGGTCTAGGAAACGTGGGTGGTCTGCGAAGCCAGACCTCCCGGAGTTATTTCATTACGAGGTCTTCATAGGATACCGGATCAAGGTATTCGAGGAAGAAACACTCAAGAAGTTTGCTTCCCTGGGTGAATCAACGTAGGAGTAAACGCCAACTTGCGCCCTTCATACACATTATGTAAGTAAAGATTGTAATCTGGAAGGAGTTAGTGACTCAGTTTCGATTATGCGTTTAAAGATGTTGTCCATCATAAATCACAGTTAACGTGCTCTGACGAACTTTGCTTTGATTCTCAATCATGGGCTCTTGCTTTGTGTTGGATAAGGTGCACTTAAACCTCTCTGGTCGGTGCGACCGAAGAAAGTACTGTATCATAATTTCAGTGTGGTGTGAGAGAGACGAGTTTGTTACGCACCAAGGTTCTGTAGGAAGTCTTCATGACAAGTGTGAACCTCGAGAGGATATTGTCTGCAACCCATGGGTGAATGTAATTTAAAAGAGATTTCTGTCCGTCGTCACCCATTGCAGATAATTTCTCAAGCAGGAAACAGGTCAAAGAGCCACCCATTCTGACTGTAAGTGACTATTAGGCTCAGTTCGGCAGTGGTTGTACAATCTGTTTCGTAACAGTGATACTTTTAGGTCACAAAGTGTGTCTGCGGGCACCAGGTTAGGATGCAGTGAATTGTGATCATTGAAAGCTCTTCAAGACCGAAGCCCAGCTTATTCCCGTGTCCTATCTCGAATGCAAGCAAGAAGTCGTCTGCTAACACGGGGATGTTTAATGATTTAAACTAATCTCGTTCGTTAGAATCTATGGGTTTTTGAGCTAAAAGTCTGCATCATTTAGGTTTATTTTAACCCGGATACGGGTATAAGACTCTTGGTTCATTCTAGTTGCCGACCTACAAGATAGGTATGCAACTAGTGTAAGTTTTGTCATCACTTTCCTATGATTACACAGAGAGATATGGAGACGCGGAAATCCAAACTTCTCAGTTGTGACAGCTTCGAGGCCTGAACCATTAATGACGGGGTATAGCTTTTGGAACGCATGCCTGCTAGAATAATGTACGGCGTGTTCCAGTACCACCTGGGTTTGAAGAGACGAAGATGTCAACAAGGGTTGTCCAGTGTAGAACATCATGGATGTTGTGGGGTTTCCTGGAACGCATACTCGAGTCGTAATCTTTAGTGTGATTGTGATTGGGATCAAATGCTTGCTGGTGATGATGGAACATATACTTTTCACATTTTCTCCCAGCTTAGCAGCTTGTATTATCCAATTGTGGTATGATGTGCTCTACGAAACTGATTAGAAGAAAAGTAAGTTTATTAAGGGTAAATATGTTCCATCTTCACTGAATTTCATGAAGAACCTCTCTATTAGGTTGTGGATCGAAAATCTTCATTTCCAGAGATATGTCGCTGCCAACACTTAAGAATCTACTGAAACCTCACATCTTCACCAGTAAGCACACTATGTCCATGTAAATACATCTCACCCTCAGGACATTTAAGGATGGACCGTTGGTATCAATATCGACGACGTTCTCTTACAGGCATTCGTCAACTACTTTTGTGTTTGTTCGATTTGTTGGTTTAAGTCTTCCCGTTGCCAAGGGTGCAATCACTTTAGTTTTGACCTGTACAGTAGAGTTTGATAAATCCGATCGTCAACCGGTTTACTTTCGCTGATGCCTACTTGACATGCACGCAATATAATTCTACGAGGTTGGTGTGGTGTTACAATGACTTATGATGAAGGGCATAATACTATAGTGCTTGTTTTTCACATGATTGATAATACACCCCACAGTAAAACAATATCTCTTGGTTGAATGTTTCAGTTCTTCTTTTTAATGCATTCGAGAAGGTCATTACATGATATTTTCTTCATTGATGAAACCTAGGTCTTCACTGGCCAAACCCCCTCGCTCTTATACGAGGGTCTGCTCTCCTGATCGAAAGAAGATCCCTACCTATTCCATGCCAAACCCTCTTGGCCGTTTGAGGCTCTCTTCATTTCCGGTTGCCACCGCCAGCTCTACCTTCACCGGCTACAGATTGCCGATTCCCCTCTTATTGTGGGCATTGAAGTCTTGAAGGCCATTTCTTTTTACGCTCTTAACCGTCTAGCTGCCCAGGACATACACGTGTAGAGTAGGCGTAAATAAAGTCACACATATGTGAAGAATGAAAACATATTCCCACGAGTTAGAAATAGAATTCGAAAAATCCTCCGAGCTGTTAAAGAACAACAATGAAGTAAATCCTCGCAAGTTTAAAGGTTAATTCGATGACGAATTTGAAACAGAAGACTTTGATACAAATTATACACATACAATGGGAGTAATCATGAAGACAATTCGTTCATGTCAACACAAATGATTTTTCATTGCAGTAAACAATAAGCTCTTCGCATGTGGAAATGTTGTTTCATGTAAATGCTTTGTATATTACAGTCACTGGAGTTTCCATTACGAATCATGATGTTATTAGAGTGGAAATTTCCTCGATGGGGTTTTTCCCTGGAATAACTTACATCAGTCTTCCCAATGACCTTCAATTGACTTATTCGAACGAATCATATAGTTCAATTACAAAAATTGATATTCTTATATTTTACGAATACTTTGTAGTAGCTGGAATGGATACATGGAGCAAGTTATTTACAATTTTCTCTTATCATATACAACAGCCATTAACAATTTTTGTTCTTAACTGAAACAATCTCATGGAGTTAAAATGGAGAATCGATAAGTAAATGAACAAATCATATGAATTCGATTATAATTTGATTGATATAAAATGATACTATTCTGTATGTCTTTAGCATTAAAACCAGAACATGAAGTGATTTTCAAGTCAACAATGATCTGAAAATGAGTACTAACATAAGATGTGAGATGAGAAAAAACTCAATCCCCAGTGAGACTCTAACTCTGTTTACTTCTGTACGAAACCCAAAATAGTGAAATTTGAACTCATGAATAGGACAAGAATATAAAGGGAAAAATGTCAAAGTAATCGGCCCAACCATCAGCCACTTAGTTTAGTATCTGGCAGTCGGAGTGAAATAAGAATGGCGTGCCATATATGTTAGAGACAAAAGAATGAGCTGTGATCATCAAAGGAGAAACGAATAATCAGCAGCACAAACAGTACACGGTGAAACATTGAATTACTCCGTGGATGACTTGTGAGAGGGAATATGCAGGTCTGTGATACATACACATCGAGAATTCTAACAATTCCGTATATTTGTCTCGTCCCTTAGAGACGGTGTGGAGTTGATGGAAATAACAAGATCGTGTTGACTCAAACTCTAAGTGTAGTCAATTGGGGAGCAGCACATTTTGTGTCTACAATCTGATGGTGATTAGGTTGAATAATTGGAAATAAGGTTCTATAAGGTCATGTTCTCTCCGAAGGGGACCTAGCCCCATACCAGCACCCATTTGGTTTCATCCTTGTAGGAGCCTATTGGGTCTTACCATCATTTCTTTCTTAGTTCATCAGTTACCTCCAGCTAGTTAAGTGAAGGAGTAAAGTCGATTGATTGGATGGCCGGTGAATAAAAGTGTCTACATGTGTTTCTGACGGCAACCAGGATGTTGTCCTTCACATGGTTGTCAGCTGTAAGTGAGAAACAATTTTGACTGACGGGAGGGTCAATCTCTCACTGGGAGGTACAATGCAGTTGGTACGACATCTGGGATCTGTACGTTTCAATGTGTCATCCAAAGTAATAAACTGGACATTAACAAAAGTGAGCACAATAAACTTCATGCCTGAATGGTGTCCAATGTATGTGTATGTTATTGCATCTTTCTGGGTGGCAAAACCATTATCGGGACGACGCCTGAGAGATTCGAACTCTCGCGGGGAGACCCCATGTACTTAGCAGGCACACGCCTTAACCACTCGGCCAAAGCGTCCCGGTTGAATTTAGGAAATGCAAGGGTAAATTTATTTAACTATGCGCCAAATATCAAAACTGAAATTCTCTAAACGTTCTATCCCGTATTGTACATCCGGGACGCTTTGGCCGAGTGGTTAAGGCGTGTGCCTGCTAAGTACATGGGGTCTCCCCGCGAGAGTTCGAATCTCTCAGGCGTCGTCCCGACAGTGGGTTATGCTTCCCAGGAGGAGGCAGTTATACACATATAAATTAAACACAACTCACTCATGAAGTTTAATATGTTCATTTTTGTTAATGTCAGTTTAATACTTTAGATCACACATTAAATCACCACATATCTATCTATGTATGAGCTATGTATAATAAGAATACTGGAAGCATATATTTGTTGTGTTTATTGTTTTTGATTTTTTGTTACTCTTAGTTTATTAGTTAAGAAGTTGATCACAGATTAAGTGCTGGTACATCACATGTAACTTCAAGTGGATGTGAATTTCTCAAGTAGTTTGGTAAGTTAAGTAGCTCATCCAGATTTGAAAGTCTAACGGCAAACCATAAAAATGTTATTGATACCATGTATTTTTTGTTATGGGTGATAGTTTAGACATGAATTGAAATTCGAAATGAAAATATTGGTATAAGTTAAAAGTAAAATATCGGAAAGTTTTGTTTATAAATTTGGATTGATTCTTTTGAGTGCGATTATTATGTGCAGTTATCGATATAAAATAGATGGAATTTAGATTTTATTTTGTACCAAAAATCATATATTTACTTTTTATAGGTACAAAATTTCACAGTTGTATATAAAAAATATGAATGACTATTTATTGATCTTCAAGGATGGACATACGAGAAAATTTTGTTGTAATGTTCGAACCATAGAAGTTATGTAGCCATCTAATTCCTGCTATCGGAGTTGAATGTGTGGCCTACTCTTTGTCGATTTCGCCAGACAAATATTCAGCAGTATAATTGCAGATCATGATTCCAATGAGACTCCAGGGATTTAAAGCACCGTGGTTCAAGAACATCGAGAGACAATCGAACGAAGGCATGATCCGAAGCAGGTCGTAGATCAGAAACGTGGTGAGTCTTCGTTATGGTGTGTCAAGTGTTCATCAACTCGACTAGCTTTGACATATAGTATGTGAGAACGGACATCGAGCTCCAGTGGCTGCAGCAGCAACTCTCAGACTCTAGAGACCCTCAGCTCTGACGAACTCAATCCCAGGATTGGTCATTGGAGAATGTCCTCTCAACAATTTGACTGACGAACGAACGGTGCAAACACGCATGCTCATAACACTAGACGAAATCTGGTCTTGTGGAGCTTGTTACAGCTTCCAAATGTAACCCATAACCTATGGACTTGACATAAGGGTAGTTCTAATCCTACAGATATACATTACATCTTACAAGATTGCTGGTAGGTGGACAGCCAGTAGGTGTTTGGTGAATGTCGGATTATCACTTTGTTAAGTTTCAACTAATTGGGTTTCAATGGTCGTCAGGATCAGACTTTGAAGGATCCTGAAGAATTTAAGGTGTTCATCTTTCAAGGAGCTGTCCACTAATTGGACGCACCTCTGAGCTGAAGGGAAGTTCAGACTACGGCACGGCAGTTGGTCCTGATCTGCCCACTGGTTCCGGTGAGCACGCCGACCTGGCTCAGCTTAGTCATGGCGGCTGCGAACTCCGGAGTGAACGGGGAATTGGCCGCTCTCATGATCTGCACGAAGGTTTTGCCTGCAGCCACTCTCTTCAGAGCGTCGTCGGACTGGAACATAACCTTGCCATTGATAACATTTGCGTAGTAGTTCTTGTTCCAAATGTCCACTGGCGTACTCTGATCCATCAGGATCTTGGTGGTCGTGTCACCGAATTGGCACTGGGTTTTCAGAGACGCCGCAAAGTTGGCGTCCAGAGCTGGATCAGTGGGTGCGGTGCTCGAGAAGTTGTACAGACGACCTTGGATTGTCGAGCACCGTGTGGCACCCACGGTGTGCGAACCTGCACCATACGATCCATGCATCGTCATCCGATGATCCTCGATGACCAGCACTGCTGCAAAATGTAATTCAAATCTTTGTGTCTCTCGGGACTGTGTGTGCATGTGCACGCAGCTGGAGCTGCAGTGAGTGGAATGAATGAGTGAGTTCACGGACCTGAAAGGACCACCATCTCTCGAGTGGTGAAGCCCTTGTTGGAGAAGGAGGTCACCAGCTGCTGGAACGTAGCGAAAGGAGGTGGCAAATTGCTGTTGGCCTCCGCTGCAGACGAAACAACGCCGTCACGTCGGCCCAGAGGCACGGTCCAGTTCAGGCCTGCGGCTCCAAACTGCACGCACAGAGGTCCGGTCTCAGTCAGAAGCAGCACCGAAACTCGCTGAATTAAGTTCAGTGGGTGGTTGAATGACATGCTCACTCTACCTCAACCATGGCGTCTCGGGCTGCGAGGGAGAGAATGTCCGCGCACGACATGACTCCCGGGCACAGAGCTTCCACCTTGGCCTTTACATCGTCGATCACTTCGAATCCTCGCAGGGAGTTGGCGTTTCCAAACGCTGACTTCTCGCCATTGGCGACGTCCAAGAGCACGGATGCATCACATCCCTGCCATACAACCATAATTCAGTTTCTCTGTGACGCCAACTACAATACGCACAAGACTCTGACTTGCATGATGATGTCTGCACATTGTGAAGTAGAATGAAGTGCGGCTGAGAATCTAGAGCTGACTCCGTATCCGTCAGCTCGTTAACGGGAGACTCGTCTAAGGATTGCCTCTGAGAATCGATCGTCGCATTCTGAGAGAATGTAAACTCTCTGATCTTCCCAATGGTCCAAGGGAAACGAGGATGGAAACTCTCTGATCTTGACATGGGCCAAGGGAAACAAGGATGATGAAGGAGAAGAGGAAGCGAGAGCATGCTCATCTCTTACCCGAACGAAGCAATCGTGGAAATGTAAGCGGAGAAGAGATGGTGCCAAAGTCCTGTCTGAGGTTATCCAAGATCTGACTACCTCACCAACTTTGGAAACTCCAGAGGGACATGTCGAGTTGTAGAATGTCACACTCAGTTGAGCCCGTGCAGGAGCCGCGACCGCAGCGAAAAGTATACAAGTGGCCAGTAAACTGAAGGTCTTCATGTGGGTATCGGGTGATGCTGCTGAAACGACGAAGCAGAAATGATGAGCTTCCAGTTTCCAGTCAGCAAATAATTATCTCAAACTCAATTTTCGGTACTTCAGGCCGAGTCTACGTTCTATCAGATATCAGACATGATTTTGAATGAAACAATAAATGTGATCAGACAAGGCGTCAGTGAGGAAACCAGTAAGCTCCAAAACGAACTACCATATATGAGGTACAAAAAACATTTGAAGAAGGATTCATGTAAATTGAAAGAGGGTTGTTGGTCGAAGTCATTTACTATCTGAACGTGATGCAGAGTCAATGACTTGTCAGGAAGGTTTTCTCGTCCACAAGCTGTTGTTGGAATGATGGACCTGATGAGAGACAATGAACATACGAATGTCTTGGGAGGTTGCGGAGGTTTTATATGTATGTTCGAGTGCACCAGTAGACACGTCGCTTGCCAAGTCAGCCCACTGCACTCCTCCATGGTAGCCGCAACCCAAGGAGGCTGAATATACTTCACATTCATATGCAGTGCAGGGTATCATGATCTTCGGTGGCGACTCTCAGATGTCACGTTTTTCAGATTCGTCATCGTGTACTTGTTTGGGGTTAGGCTCTGTGATCGTGTACTGGTTTGAGTTCAGACTCTCTGATCGTTTTGTTCACAGTAGCAGGAGGTTCCAGTGCACGAGGGTCAGAAGGAAGCTGATTCGGAAGGCCCAATCTGCAGTAAAAGGCAGATATTGGTTGACTGGTCAAGCCATGGTTCTAGCTAGCGCTGGAGAGACAAGGATCATGATGACGGGTGATATCTGGAACAGCATTCTTCTTTTTCTTCTTCTTCAGGCGTGAGGGTGCTGTGTAGACCCGCGTGAGGTTGCTGCTGCTACGACTCTGTGTACAATACTTAACAACCGAATGCAATCTTCACGTTTAGTAGCTTGCGTTGGTCGATGCATCTCGTTCGTCTCTCGGAGTGGACTACAATTCTGGTGCTGGTTGGAGTCTTTTGTCTCATACTCATGTTCTCAGATGTCCCTCCGATCAGACACGGTCAACACATCGCTTACTCGCGTCCATAGATCCGAACATTGCGATGCGTTCACTCTACAAGTCGTCCTTGTCGATTTGCCTGTCGGAATATCGATCATGCGAGAATCTGGTTGGAATCTACGAGTGAGCTCAGATTATCCGAGCCTGGCCGAGGTATGGCCTGGAGCTGCGAATTGTCATGCGTCATTCATCCGCTCCCTGGCACCGAAACCAACCAGCTCTCAGCCTGCCCGGTCCGTGTTCCGTCTGTTGAATGCAGGCAGGCAGGCAGGCAGGGTGCGGACGCCATGGCTTTTAGTCGAGATCGGGCACATCACCGTCTGCATCGCGGCAGGAAACTCTGCTGACTTTCTCCCGGGGAGGGGGATGGGCACGGAGAAAATCAGCAGACGGTGAAAGGATTTCTCTAGCCAGACTTTGATTCTACGTTTCATGATACACGATGATGGGCTGTCACAATGGTACACACACACACGCTCTGGCTGGCTCCATCTGCAGATGACGAGCGCTTGCTCTTGACGAGGTGTGTGTGCCCTTTCGAGGGACTCGAGCCATTCGTTTACTATTTAACAGTCCAATGCTGGAAAAAGGTAAATCTCTCCCCCATGAAGGTTGGTGTGAAATGTCTGCGCTCCTACAATATCAGTTCATAGCTTGTTACTTTGGGCATCGTCCACTATATGCATACAATGTTCAGTGCCCCGAAATCAGAACAGAAATAGCAACATGGAATTCGTTTGTTCCTCAACTTCATCTGGTACGAAACATCTTGAAGCTGCATGTTTGTTAACATTTAAGAGCCTAATTTCAGATAAGTGAAGATGAATGTCATCAGTGAGGAAGGACTGAAGAGTATATGATGTGAGACTGGCTTTTGGAAAGGAAGACATGATTTTCAGTTTCTTTTGCTTTTACGCAGTCATAGGGTAAGAAGTAAAAACCATTTGTTGATTTCTTTTAATATGTTTCAGAGGAGGAAGAGGATGATGATGATGATGTGTGACTCCAGCTAGTGGCAGATACAGAAATTGGCTCAAGGACAAAACAGTTGTTTTTCATGAATTTCTCGGTTTTGAATTTATGCAAGGTGCCAGCATATCTTTACTTCAAGATAAAGTTTCGTAACTCGGAGTGAGAAACCGTTTTTAAAGATAAAATATTCAATTCGATCATTTATTTTCGTAATGAGCCAGTTCAGGCCCAAAAATAGGGCAACTTCTTCAATCGAGATTCTTAAGATTTTGTTTTTGGAAAGGCTATAAAAATTCTAAGACTTTGAGATAAAAATCTGAGGCTAATCATATAGTTTACTCAATTTCTTATTTAACGTTAGGAGTATTATTTCTATGACTGAGTCATGAATGAGATTTGGACAACATATTTTACACTTCGTGAGAAAAAATGATACCACTTCTTATTGCTTACTTTCTTTAATATTTAAAATTAAGTGTTAAAATATAAAGCAATACCTTACTTATGAATATTGAGCAAGTAAATTCAGCTTTTCTCTGGATTTTTTCCTGGATGTTCAAAAATTTGTTTAATAATTTGAAGCATAAATTTAATTTCAAAGATCAACCGTAATATCTTTGTTTCTTCTTATTAATATATAGTATAGTATAGTATAAGATACAGATCACATAGATACAAATTTACATAAATATTTATTGATTATAACCTTTGTGCTCAATTCCAATAATGTTTTATTATTCTGGCAAGAAACTCATAATTAGAATTGAAGTATTCTTATTTAATTCATAATGATTTATATCCGTAATAAAAAAGAACATTAATATGAAAATACCTACTGCATTAAAATATAAGAATATAATCTCAACTTGAGGTGATACGTTTAACCTTTGGATATCATAATTTTACTTCTAAGCCGTCCCATGTGTTTCTTTAATGAGAGTATATCCATATGTATTTTTCACATGAATACATCCATGCATGTAACTACAAACACACACGTTTTGGAATAGTTAACTGGTTTACATTAAGGAGATTGAGTGCACACAAGTGTCACTCAAGTCTTGACAAGAGATGATGTTTTGCAAGATCAAAGCTTCCTATAAAACTCTCTTAGGTTATATCAATCCAGTCAGATTTTAATCAACTTGAATCGTACATGTTTAGTGTACACTTGACGGTTTCAAGAGGTGAACGTATGTAGACTAAATGAATTTATTGAAGTTAGTATTTTTTGTGAGCGGTACAAAATATATATGTAACATCCTGCATCTCATATGATGTGTACTTGTTTCCTATATTTCCAGGAAATACGAAGCATGTTATTCACTTCAGAAGTCAACCCAAATGACTGGAGTATCACAGCAAGCTCCGAACAGTGGAGTGTGTAAAGATTGGATGACAAGTATCAGTGAGGATCAGTATCATTAGATGTGGGAATGGAAATGTGTGACAATCGACATTCATAAGATGGTCTTGATTTGGATTGATGGTCCATGCATATTAGAGCTTTGCATATGAGGTTGTCCAAGTTCCATCCCAGTATATTACGTGTGCTCTTCATGCCTCCTCCATGACTGCGAGGACAGATCAAGTCCTCAGACTTGACTTTGTGAAAAGACTAGAAAGTCAGCGTCCTTGAAAGAAAGACATCTCAATGTGGGCCATGAGGTAATCAGTTCATGGTGGTACGAGGATGGATCTGGCCTCCGGCCTGATAAGCTACAGAAAGTGAAGGTGGAACGTCTCAAGAGGGCACGAAGAGAAGTTAGACCCAATAAGCTAATGATTGATAATGAATGGGTGGGAATATACAAACCGAAAACCATTCGAGTACAAGGCACAATGTGCTTGAATGTGGAGCCCCATTGTTCTAACCAAATAAGTAATAGTAACGTGGAGCAACCAACGTACCACATGCTTCTTGGGATAGCTCTTTACTATCTGTACCTAGATAGTTCTAAATTTTTTCAATCTGAAATCATCATCCTTCCAGAGAGGGCCCTGCGCAGCACAGATGCTAGTACGTCTCATCATTCATTGCGGCCAGGAAGACGACTTGGCTTACGAGAATGAGGTAAAAAGAAACTCAAATGCCAATATGCTCCAAAGGAGAATATAGAAACGGAGGGGTCAGGAAATCTTATTGCCAAAAGCATGAATTGAGCGAATTCAAGGAACAAAACCATATCCATCGCATGCTACTCGGATCTACCACTTCGCATAGTCAGTCTGAATAGATGATAAGAGGAAACTTGTATAGGGGTTGTGTGTTCTTTCTTTCTTCCCTCATCCTACTTTCTAATATATTGGAGCTGAAACGAGAAGTCTTTTCAGCTCCAATCTCAGAAGTCTTGATCTCCTCTAGACGTGGATTCCAACTCATACTAATATATTCTACGTATCCTGGGTTTCCCCTTTTTGTCCAACTTACATTTCGAAGACACTAAGAAATATGGTGAAAATGATAGGAAGATCCAGAAAGTGATAACACTGGGCTAGCTAGGCCCCAAGAGCATTACAATGGAAAATCTGTGCTTATGCACCTGAAACATTAGAATTCTAAGGGTATCACTCTTCATGAATGGTTTTGGAAGATGTTGCCAAATCTAGACAACTCATAGTGCGCGCAGAATCGAACCCACACCATAGCTCTTGGCTGAGCTAGGTGTCGTGCAGTGAGTGGACCTACGGTTAGCTGAATGCAGGCAGGCCCATCAGGCAGGCCGGTTCGTCGATCGACAACTCAAACAACTTCTGAGTCCAAATCAAACGTAGTCAGTATAAATCTATCGGATCTCTATTAGCAGTCGAAGCAGTATTTGACACTGGAATCGTATCAATAGTCGATTGCCGGGGTTTACATCTACGGGTTCCCAGATGGTCTTCAGAATGTAGAAACGACTCGCTAACTCAGACAGACAGACAGACAGACCTGGAGGAACGGGTGGATGGGAGAGGAGAGAAGTTTGGGCATGGGCTGCCGAGGAGAATTCTCGAGGATCAGCCAATCGGAACCAATTGGAAGGAAAATGGAAGGCAGACTCATCAGAGAAGGAAATGAATCCGGACGGACCCAGCCACACAGCTTTGGAACGAAATTCTCGACAGGTTTTCTGAGCGTTTATTGACATCTGGACAACGACAGGGACTGAACGATGCCACCCAATCTCGACGGCACATGCACGTCAGAAATGACATTTCCACGACCAGTATCCTAAACTCGTATGTGGAGACTAACGCCTGCCTCATACTACTCAGCCCTCCTAACTTCTAGCCTCGACACGGCCTTCTTCCTCTACCACGAGGCAATTGTCAGCCGTGCTGAGTCGCTCTGCCTGCACAAAACACACTACTTCTGTGCAGCCACTCAGCTCTCTCGAGCTCACTCACTGCATACAATGCCTGGGCCATGAGGACCCGATTAAATTAGATGAGATTAGATTGGGTAAAATCACATTAAATTAGAGGCCTGCTGCTCGTTGCCGATCTAATCTAAACTGCAGCTAGGCAGTACCAGCTGCGAGATCCTCCGATGCAGTCACTGCTTTCTTCTTCTTCTACTACTACTACAACTAGTACCACATCGCCGGGGCAAAATCCGAGCTCACAAAATTCCTGATCTTAATTTGTCAAAATCTTGACAGCGAAAGGAAATTCAAGGCATTCGATTAAATGATTAGTGAGGGTTAAAAGGGAGTTAAATGGTTAAATGTGCTATTAGGTACACGGATCGGAGATCGATCGAGCTCAGTTGACGAGGTTGCACTTGCGGCGGATCTGGCCGCTGGTGCCGGTGAGCACGCCGACGCGGCTGAGCTTGGTCATGGCGGCGGAGAACTCGGCGCTGAAGCTGGAGCCGGCTCGGTTCAGGGCCTGGACGATCTTCGAGCCCTCGGTGGTGCGCTTGAGGGCGTCGTCCGACTGGAACAGGACCTTGCCACGCAGGACGTTGGAGTAGTAGCTGAAGTCCCACGTGTCCACGCTCTTGCTCTGGTCCATCTTGACCAGCGTCGTCGTGTCGCCGAACTTGCACTGCCTCTTCAGCGCCGCGGCGAAGCTGGCCTCCAGCGCCGGGTCCGTCGCCACCGTGGCCGAGAAGTTGTACAGCCGCGTCTGAAAGTTCCGGCAGTGCGACAGTCCCACCGTGTGCGACCCTGCACATCCGGTGCCGCATTTCCATCCAGGTCAGAATCTCATACTTCGTGTCACCGATCAACGACGACGACGACGATAAATTCGATGAATTTGTTGGCCATCGGCCGCAGATTGCACGTAAAATGAGGATTGATGCTGCCATTTTGATCGCACTGGGGATGTGGGCGATTTACGAGAAGGCAGGGAGGGCCAAATCGTTTGGTTTGCAGGCGGGCGTGATTCCACTGAAATGAACTGAGGATGGTCGATCGTGCTTGCTGTAATTGCAAAGTCAATGAAAGTGCTTGAGTTTGATGCTAATCGTTTGCACGAACCTGAGAGAACGACCATCTCGCGGGTGGTGAAGCCCTTCGCTGAGAACAACGAGACCAGTTGCTGGAAGTTGGCGAAGGGAGGTGGCAGAGCGCTGTTGGCTTCCGATGCGAATGACGACACACCATCGCGCCGGCCTAGTGGGACGGTCCAGTTCAATATTGGGCCTGCCATCTGCACGGGTCGTAGATTCGGTGTCAGAAAGTTCTGTGTAACGAGAATTACGAGTTCGGCAAGCTATGGCAGAATTGTGAAGAATTATTGTCGGCAGAATTGTCGATAAGCAAGAATATCACCTGCGCTGTGGGTGGGTGGGTGCTTTCTTGAGCCTGGAAAAGATTTCTCGACGGAATTACCTGAACCATGGCATCTCGAGCAGCGAGGGAGAGAATGTCGGCGCAGGACATACGGCCCGGGCATAGAGCTTCCAACTTGGTTTTGACATCATCGATCACCTCAAAACCTCTGAGCGAGTTTATATTTCCTGCTGCTACTTTTTCACCATTCACGGTGTCCAGCAACACAGAGCCGTCACATCCCTGCAAGCACCAGCTTTTCCCTTTCAGAAATTGCCATCGAGCCTATAGAACATTTGACTGCACCAATCACTGACATGGAATCCGGAACAATCACCCACGGCCAAGGCAGGCAATTAAGAAAAGCTTTCGTCTCGAATGTGCAGGCCGGAGAATTTCAAGAGTGCATGATACTCACCCGAACGAAGCAGTCGTGGAAGTGAAGGCGGAGGAGAGCAGGTGCCAGAGTCCTGTCCCTGGTGATCCAAGTTCTGACTACCTCTGCAACTTTGGCCGGTCCACTGGGACACGTCGAATTATAGAACCTTTCACTCAGCTGAGCACTCGCACTGCTTGCGAGTAAAGCGAAGATCAGAAGTGTGGCCGTCAAGCCTCTCGCCGCCATCCTGACTCACCACTCGAACCAGGCTCCTGAACCACACTACAAGAGAATCAGCACATCGTCCTTGAGCTTCGTCGCTGATTTGCACTACAAGAAATGGACTCTAGAGCTGGCACACTTCCAGAGTACAAAGTCCAGTCCATGATCAGCAAGGGATGGTCATGTCTACGGTCTGATGGAATCAGGAAACAATATCAACATCAACACGAAAAGAGAAAGTGACAGCAGGTATCTGAGCAGCGTACAGTTTGGGTGCAGTTGTAGGCTATGGTGATGTTGTTGTTGTCGCAGACAACCGTCCTCAGAGTCTCACGAACTTCTATCTCAAACGAATGCCTGAGAGAGAAGGAGGGAGACCTGAAGACGAAGATGAATTTTTGGTCTGGCGTTGCAGACCTTTTATACGATCCGGTTTGCTGCACACAGAAGAATCCATTCCTTTGCGTGGGATTTTACATGATCCTCTGATATCGCCGGCACCCAAGGCTGCAGGATGGAGGTCGATGGGCATGCACAGCCCCGTAAGCTCGGTGGTTTCATGTGGTCGCTCACATTCGTCGCTGATGAGGAGGACTCTGCACTGCATCACAGCGCAGTACAGCCAGGTACGAACTCCAGATCCCTTCTGTTGGTGGGGTGATTAAGCTGGTCAAAGCAAGCAACACTCACTCTGAAACCTTCTCTATTACATTCCATTTTTGGCTTTCTGAATTGACTTTCCGTTCTATATTTTCTTCTCTTTCCTTGGGGCATCTGAAATATTTGAGCTTTTTCCGGTCTCCACAAATTTTCTCCAAAGTTGAGAACAGAAAGCTCAATGAAACTTGCTGGTGGCTAGATCAGGCGTGTTCACGTGTTGGAAAATCTTCCTGCTGGATGGATTGCGGCTTTGCATCTAATATGATGACATGTGATTCAGGTACAGAGAAAACAGCGAAGAGAGGATTCAGTTCGATTCCATGGCTGTTGTTCAGATGATTTTGCGTGATTTGCTCGGAGACTGTTGCTCTGCAAAGAGCAGGCCTAGCTTGTCACGTATAATCATCATGTTTAGCCATTTGTTGGCCTGTTCACTGTACTTCGTGCTAGCGAGATAATCGGCTGCCCTTCCACATCCTTTGAAGTCAACTGCATCAAGCGTACGCGTAAGCACTGTGCTCGTCTACTTAGCTCGTCACTTAGTTGATGTCACTCGCGAGTCGAATTACTACAGATCTTTATCAGACTTTTGCTGCAAATTGCATCCGTGCACGAGGTTGTACTTCGCTTTCGCATGCACGTTCTCAAGAGGGTTATCAGATGTAGAACAAGTCGGGGGCAGCTTGTCCATGGCCACTCACCTCCACCCCGCCCCGCGCGCAGCGTGTGCGGAGGATGAAGGATCTCTACGACAATGTACAAGTTATGATGATGATCTGAATGGGAATCTGCGTTTGTAAGAGAATTCGTCCGAGTGGATCTTGAGGGCAAATTGAGAACCGCACATGGAGTGGACAAGATCAACTGCAATGTATAAAGTTGAACTAGCTGGGAAAGTGGATGTGAAGGTCGGTGTGATAATGATAATGAAGTCTGAATTTACTTGAACTATGAATGAGCACAAAACCAAGCTTTTCAACAGACTTCAAAGAACCGATCCTGCAAGATGTGCAAAAGCTTTGCACATCTCGAACGACTACAGCTCACAATTGAGAATTCTGTTTTGCAAGAGGGTGACATGCGTCGACTTTTTCTACTCTAGTATAAAATCTAAAAACTCCCCCTGGTTCGGTTTCCTTCCAGTACAGACAGCTGTAAGGCAGGGGCAAGTCCGTCTGGCCTCTCTCGGTCGGTATCTGAGTCTGAGTGAGCAAAATCAACAACTGTCCTCAGAGTTTTCCTGACAAATTGGACACAACACAAGCTCGGGACGTTGCTCAAGATATTCAGACACCCGTGCACTTTTTATTACCTTCCACAATAATGAACACGAATTTTCGGAAGATTACAAGTTTGACACCCACAATCTCGCTCCGTGGACTGCAAAGAAGAACTGCACAGTCCTTCGTGACTCGTGACTACCAAATTACCAAAGCCACGAAAATATGGCGTTCCAAATACAGATTCACGCTGCCAACCGGTTTAAAAGGCCCCCTCACGATCTGCAACATGGAAATGTTGTCCCGGGTGCACGTGCGTGCTCACGAGCGTGGCTACAGATCTCGAGCACGGTACGGCATTGACCGACCGAGTACACACTGTCACGTGACCGGATATCGAGCGCGGTCATGCTCCGAGCACCTGCCGACCGGGCACCATAACCTGACTCGGGCAGGCTCCAGGTACCAGACCTGGTTTATGACCGTTCTCTCCGGACATAGAAGTATGCTGAATTTGGCAGAACCGGTGACGCGCCCGGACTCCCGCCCGGAAATTCTTTCTAAATATAGAACACGCGCGACGTTTTCGAGTCTGTCCTGCTTCCGCGAGCCACGAACGAATATTTGATGGCATATTCTCGGACACCGTGACCACGATGTGTTGTTCGTTCTCGTGGGCCAAAGAGTTGCGCTCGATCTGGTCCTGCTGCTGCTGCTGCTGCTGATGTGGCAGTGTGAATCTGGAGTTCCGAAGGTCCAGCTCGTCGGTTCTTTGCATCGACGGCAGTCGACGTGTGTGTGCGTGTGTTGCTTGCTGACAGGGCACGGTTGATATGGAAGGGGCGGTCTCTCCGTGTCGCGTTACAGAGCTCTGGTGACTTTCTGTTGTCCGAGTTGGGGACAATGTTGTCGAAATGAAGACAGTGCAAATTCGTCCCGACTGATGTACAGATCGCTTAGAGTTCCTGGATGTTCACTGTGTACACTAATCCAGCCCATCATGTGCTTCATGGAGAAGTGGTAAAAATCACATTTCTTCAGCTCAGTTTAGATTATCCTTCCCTTGCAGTGGGTAAAACTTTCTAGCCCAATTACAATAAGAGAGACAGAGCTAGATTGTGGTCTGATCTCACACTAGTGCCATTAGAGTTCAAAGTTACAATCTCGTGTTGCTAAATTCGTGTATCTCACAATCAAGTTTCAGCATGTTTTTGTCAAGTTTTCAAAAATATGCTGAGATTATTCTCAAACTAGCGTCTTCATCTTAATGCAATATGATCCAAACCCGTAATCGACGGAATAGTTGCAAAGCCTTTCGCTCAGACTGCGAATCCTTTTCAGAAATCCTGTTGCGAAAAAGATCAGGACTCTCAATCTCGTGTTGTATTTCGCTGGAAAAGTCTTTACGCCTCTTTTTCCCCTATTTGCCAATACTCTATTCAATTCATCAGACAAGACACTCAGCAGGTTTACTTTTTACTATCTTTTCACATTTACAAGTTATCACTTCCATCATATATTCGCTCTTAAACCGCATCAACCTTCTCCTTTGTGTTGAACGTACCAAGCCATTATCTTTCCTCCACTTCCCGCTGTAACCTTTCCCGATCATTCCCGACGAATAAATTGTCGAAGTGTGATTACAACTATCTCATTGAAATCAAATCAGAGGGACAGTTCAATGAGAGAGACTCAACGTTGAGAGTGAGTTGGACATTACATAGGTGATAGGTAGTATTTTACTCTTCGGAATGTGAAGTAAAAAAAATTAAAATTGGGGACGGGGAAGAAACAGTTCTAAAGAAATAATAAAATACATATCAAGCCAACTAACGTAGACATAACCGAATTGTGACAAATATAAGCAAAGTGTTTCCTGTAGGTAGATGATGACACGATGACTAGGTAGGTACAACGTGAACAGAAAAATTTAACTGAATGAATTGAGCATCTTAAATGAGTATACCATTAGATTTAGTGTTTGTAATTGTTTGAGCCCCAACATTTTTTTGATTGAAATAGTGCGCAGTTTAATAATTATTTCTGATTACTCATATAGTAATTTACTAATAATAGTTTTAAACTTCTCTCACGTAGGTTCAATATCCAGTGCATCGAGACAATAAATATACTATTCAGGATAATAATCTTTTTAACTCATCATTTGTATTATAGTGAAAGTGAAACGAATCCAATCACTCTTTTAAAAAACAATACTATTCTATTTTGTTTGAGTTGTTACTCAAACACATAGCATACATTTTAAGGCCGCAGCTAATGAGACTGGATGCGTTCCAATGGAAATGGAACTCGCGGATTATTTCCGGTACGATAATGTAATCCGAAGCTTCCAAACGGCTAAGCTGCTGGCGGTGAATCAGGTGTTAGTATAGCTAGTCAATTTCAAGCGACAAATTTCAAACCAAACGTGCTACCACATTGATTGGACCTCACGACCACACCATGCAGTTTACAAGAACCCGTCCACAGGAAGTTTAGAAAGGCAGAAAGAAGAAAGACCTTGTGACCGCATGATCGGGTAACCTCGCCTTGTCAAACTTCAAATCCAAATCCGTGTAGTCCAGACTGATAAAGATATGCAAATATACATATGGCGATGTCTACCGACACTACCACATCATTGTTTGAATTATAAAGCAGGAAAGAGCTGATGTAGATTGGGCGTGTAAAATGACGGGTGGTCACAAAGCATGGGCACGTGGAATATAACGGTGTATATACAGCTTGGAGCTTCTTTGATGGTATGTTTAAATGCATTTCCCGGCTCTGTTGAGCAGACAAACCTCACCTGCACAAATTAATGCTGTAAATCATACTCATCATACAGTCGTAAAACTCGTACTATTAGGTCGAGTAATGAGCACAAAATTGAAATTTTTTTTCAAAGTAAGTGTGCAATCTGTCGTTATTTACAACGCTTCATTTCCTCTCAAAGTTTGCCAATGAAACCATCGACCTACATCAGTCTGCCTTGGCTCATTCGTAAGATCACATCGTGTCCCGTTTGTGTACAAATGTGTGCGTGATACCTACAAGGTCAGTGTGGAATAACAAGGGCATCAACACCCTAACAATCAATGATACAAATTAGCTTGCTTGTGTTTATAAGTCGCGACTTCACATGCAATCATAACTCAATAAATGAACTTTATATGACCTGTCATCATCGGTAACTGCCTGTCATAGTCCGAGAGAAATCAAGCTATATCTCAAATAGACACGACTTTCATATCCATTTGCAGACCCTACCTTTGGGCAGCACTTTGAGAGCGAGGGTCTTTCTGCAAAAATGCGTAATTTTCGTCCCGATGCAAAGCTGCAGTTGCTTCCTCGTCATATCTTCCAAGAGTGAACTCTTGAGTAACGACGGCCTGGGATGAGAGGTGAAGGCACATCAGGTGAGAATATTTACGTTCACCCGATGCTGAAAATTTCAATCCATAAATGGCGTAAGGTCTCCTACTTGTGGTGTACGTCGCAAGTTTTATAAAGATTTACCCAGTCACTAACTAA